TTCTTAAATCTGCTTGAGCACTGGCATAATGATTTTCATTGTTTAATTTCCACATTGCACGTTAGGAAAATTATTAATCTTTGAACAACGGAAAGGGATTGTAATTTTTCTCTTCTTCACACAGCTTTTCTCATCTGGTACTGTTCAGCTCACAACAACATCAAGGGCAGAATTTGGTGATTTTGATATCAAGACTGTGATTCAAGAAATGAAACGTGGAAAGCGAATGGTAAACAGCCAATGTTTTTCTTTCTGAAAAATATGTAATGATCTAGACACTAGTAAATCTACATTATTAAAAAATGCTCTCATCCATGCAGAAATGTACACTTTGTGGTCTTCTGGGAGCAACTATTGGATGTGAAATTAAAGCCTGTGTGAAGACCTATCATTATCACTGTGGAGTGGAAGACAAGGCGAAATACATCGAAAACATGTCAAGAGGCATTTACAAGTAAGGTCCTCTTCCAAAACTGGGGGAACTCCTGTTGTTATATATAAACATATTAAGGGGCCTTACCTGCTGGCCTCAATGATCCAAGTAGATTTAAAGCTGTTGTGCTAATAAAAAAATAACATGCAAAAATACACTTCATAAAATCTTGATCAAATTTGACAGTTTCCTATACATGCACAATGCATGCACCAATTTGGAGATGCACATGCTTTCTGTATTACATTTGTGACCTGGTCACCTTTTTATTATGTTATCTACAGACCGTAAGCAGGAGCGCCAATGTGCAGTCACAAAGTATTGTGATCTAATTTATATTTATATTGGACCTTTGTGACAGTATTTTTGCTTTTCAAGATGCAAGGGTTAGAACACCTCAACACCACAAACTCTCTCTTACAGTCCTACAAAATGTATAGTAAGTTGCTGGTCACATTTTTGCTCTAGTTTGCATATTTCATGTTTCTTTCCCAAATTATTCTTTCCTTATGTAGACTTTATTGTAAAAACCACAGTGGCAATGATGAAAGAGACGAGGAAGATGAAGAAAGGGAGAGCAAGAGCAGAGGGAATGCAACAGGTGGCCAACTTGACAGCACACCACAGCAGATCAATGGAAATTAGATTCCCAAGGGATCCACCATCAACTTGTGATAAGGGAGTGCAGACACATTTTCAGGTTTAAGATAATGATCTTTTATCTAGGGCTGTGAAAAGGACTATGGGGGAAATGTATTTTTTCAACTGTTGATAATTTTGTAAGTATGAAAAAGGGCAATGTTTAATGTCATGCATCTAGGTATGTAAATCAGTCAGGATTATTTCCCTTCTCAATATTGTTTTTATTTAAAAAAAAAAAAAAAAATGTTTTTTAGAACTTTTATTTGTTTGCATCCATCATCCCACCAAACTGTATTGTCACTTGTAGCTCTTCACAAACCATTTTAAATGCTTATTCAGGGCTTCAAATTTCTTAACTAGGGGCTAGTGAAAATTTGCCATAGCAAATATTTATCCACCCCTTGTTAACGTGCCATTGACTCTTCAGTCTTGCAGTGGCGAGTTCCCTATTTTAATTTTTTTTTTTTTTTTTTTTTTAAACCCGGTTTTGTGGCATAGGTCTTGAAATGTAAAACCCCTGCCAGTAATTTGGTTTCCAAGTCTTTCTCCTCACTTGCTGTCCTGTGGAATGGGGGGTTTAAGAACAACACACAGATTGAAAATTATGTGGAACATGTTAAGGGCACATTACATAGTGGATCATTTCTTTTAACTCCTTAAAAAAAAATCTTATCACATCACCTAAATCCCTGCCAATCCTTTTTAAAGGAACTCTCTACTGCCCAGATACAAAAAAAAATATTTGTTTAGTAAATATATCCGAAATGAAAACTTGCATGCATTTAATTATGCATTTTTTTTTTATTGGGGTATATCTAAAACCATCTTGCAAAACCTGCAGATCACTTGTCTGAAGCCTTTGCAAACCTTCTCCTAACCCCGCTCAGACTTTGTGTCTGTCCAATCACAGACTTCCCAATGCAGCTCAGTGAGAAGTCTTCGTAAGGCAGTTGCTCTCAGCAATTGCTGCCTCTTGAGTTTAGCTCCGTTGAGCTAAACAAACCAGGAAGTAACAGGACCAGTTGTCGAACAGCCATATAAAAGGGCACACTTGAAGCACTTCAGCAAGCCAAAGGCTTTAGGAGTCTGGAAGTTCTTTTTATCAAAAATATTGATTTGGGGTTATTACCTTTTAGCTCCTAATAACTTCACAACAGTGAAGATAATGAGTGTAAGAAATATGATTATAGCACTTAAAACAACACAGTTTTGTGTTCTTCCTCATTTTATTTTGTGCAAATGTTAATATTTACTTTTGGATAAAATACAGTTTGATGCAACCTCATAGAACGAGAATGGCTTCCAAATACATTTTATATATTCTAAAATATACAATAAAGCATTCTTACAACTGACAGCACATAGATGTGCAAGTTACTTGGCAGAAACCAAGAACATCTGTGGTATGCAAACAGTTTGTTTGCCTAAGTGGTCATATCTACCAGTAGACTCCAGTCCATAACAAGACTCCACATTTCATACATTGTAGTTAAAGGTTTTGTTTTAAAAAATAAAATCTTCTTATTGAGCTTCTGTCAACAGAATATTATGTGAGTAGTGATTTGACAAGTCTGTAATTTAACATCCAGTTGAACAGTTGTGTGTGCAGACATTATACTTAAAGGAACACTATAGTCACCTAAATTACTTTAGCTAAATAAAGCAGTTTTAGTGTATAGATCATTCCCCTGCAATTTCACTGCTCAATTAACTGCCATTTAGGAGTTAAATCACTTTGTTTCAGTTTATGCAGCCCTAACCACACCTCCGCTGGCTATGATTGACAGAGCCTGCATGAAAAAAAAACTGATTTCACTTTCAAACAGATGTAATTTACCTTAAATAATCGTATCTCAATCTCTAAATTGACTTTAATCACACACAGGAGGCTCTTGCAGGGTCTAGCAAGCTATTAACATAACCGGGGATAAGAAAATCTTAATTAAACAGAACTTGCAATAAAGAAAGCCTAAATAGGGCTCTCTTTACAGGAAGTGTTTATGGGAGGCTGTGCAAGTCACATGCAGGGAGGTGTGACTAGGGTTCATAAACAAAGGGATTTAACTCCTAAATGGCAGAGGATTGAGCAGTGAGGCTGCAGGGGCATGTTCTATACACCAAAACTGCTTAATTAAGCTAAAATTGTTCAGGTGACTGTAGTGTCCCTTGAAGATCCATTGTTTATGTTACCTAGCCCTCAAAACTCCAAATCTTGGAGAATGGCTTGCGTGTGCTTCACTTAAAAGAATACAAATAAATAAATTTTAAATCATTGACACACTTTGCACTTGATGCTTTATTATGATAGTTCATGTTACTTCTTGTAATCCTAGAAAGGAGTTGTGCAAAAGGTCTTCTTTAGCTTCTGTTAAAGAAACACTATAGTTCCTGACTATAGGGTCAGGAACACAAACCTATATATTTGACCATATAGTGTTAAAAATACATGTAGAGTTCCTGGCATCCCTATGTCTCCCTTAAGAAAATTTTACCTCTATATTTACAGCACCGTGTGGGTGTGTCCAAACTCTTCCTGCCCCGATCCATCTCCTTGGCAGACATCAGAATCATCAGCCAATCACAATGCTTTCCCATATGAATTTTGTTGATCCTAGCCATACACATAAAAACATCTGACCTAGTTGATTTAGCTGACTGCGAGCAACCAACATGCAAATTGTTTTAAAAAAAACAAAATAAATCCATCTAGATAAAAATGAAACGGACCCTTCGGCTGGAGGGTTGAACACCCCTTCTCTTCAGATTTAGAGTAGCAATTCATAGTTGATTTTTAGTTAAAGGATCACCATATAGGGTCAGGAACACAAACATGTATTCCTGACCCTATAGTGTTTAACCCACAATTTAGGTGGCTTGCCCCGCTATAAAAGTTTAAAATTCACCTTATTTCCCGCGGCGCACGAATCAATGCATCTCTGAGGAAAATGCAGCGTCTCCATCTAAGGCCACTTGGAGGTGTCCCTAGGGGCAATGTAAACACTGCCTTTTCTCTGTAAAGGCAGTGTTTACATGAAAATGCCTGAAGGGAACAATTATACTCACCAGAACAACTACATTAAGCTGTAGTTGTTCTGGTGACTATAGTGTCCTTTTAAATTTCAGAAATTCTATAGTATATAGTATGAATTCAGATATAATATAGAAAAAAAAAAAAAAAAAAAAATATATATATATATACCTATCCTGCAAAATATAAGTTATGCAGGGACTTTAGTGCTAACTTCTTGATTAGACAGCAGGTTGGCTTTAGTTATTTCCAAATTTTACAGTGGTTAGATACAATTTCAGATTTTAAATAGTTACAACTTTTTCTAGAACCCTTTACATATTAATTCCTATTTGTAATTGCTATTTTCTGCTGTTTGACCATGGTGAGTAGCACTTGCAGATAACTTGTCAGGGAAATAGGTTTGTATTCTTACTGTTGTTAAGTTAGTGATTAGTGCTGAATTATTTATAGGCCAATTTATAGCTGGGTTGAGATTTTCTTCTAGCAAATGGCATGAAGGGGAACTCCAGCACCAACCTACTGTAAGGTTTATGGAGGTAGAAAACTCTGTCTCATCAAAGTTATCCCGTAATTACCCCTGGATTCCTTTTTATTTTAAGCTTAAACTACAGCACACAGACCTTTTCTCTTCTTCCTCGACATCCTTTCCCATTCAACCTTCAAAGTACAAATATGACATTAGCACACACTGCCTGCTCTCACTATTCAGAATACACAAACTGTGCTGTAATCTAATTGTGCTTCTGTAATATGTCTAACTAGAATGTTTCTAAAGATCTATATCTTTACTTCTAGAACACGCTGTGTGTGTGTGTGTGTGTGTGTGTGTGTGTGTGTGTGATATATATATATATATATATATATATATATATATATATATATATATATATATATATATATATAATTTCTATAAATTCACAGTACATTTGCTAGCAATCTGGATACTAAGATTTGCAGGTAACAATTTTAGAGAAGTCTAGTAATCAATGGATAGTGTATTCCTTTTAGAATGCACATCATTTGCTCTAAGGAGGAAATGCCCATAAAACTCTGAATATACAATCTTTACCTTAGTGCCATGTGTTTTAGCTGTACTACATCTGTTTAACAGAGTACCACCAAATGTATAATCTACTGCATATATTGGCCACTTACAATGCTGGAAAGAAACTTGGGCAGAATGTTACTAAAATCAGTTCTGGGGCAAAATTCTAACAATGAAACAATGTTAGAGAGTCCAATGGTCTCTAGTTTAATTGTTACTTTATGTAATATTGTTGCTGAATTGTTCTCTCTAAATAATCACAATTGTGCATTACTGCATGAATAAGGACCTCCGTCTAGACCATGTTCTGAATTGTCTTAAAAACCTTTCATGCACAATCCCTAACAGTCACCCCCACTAAAGCCTCTGTCCTCCAGAGTCTCTTCCCCATTTAATGTCACTACATGTAGTAGTCTCTTTAGCAACTGCCAGAAGACCGTTTTGGCAACTCTCATTTCTGAACATTTTCTAGTCGTGTTTCACAAAGTAGTTTGACGCTTTGGTGTAGCTATACAATGCAGGTATATCACTGAAATACAAAAAAAGATTGTGCCAAAGTCCTAAAACTTTAAGATGGCTCCACCCACCCTTCATCTCCTGCACACCAATCTTTAACGTTTTTGGGGTTTGTTGGATATTTGATAGGCACACTAAGATAAAGATCTGTTTCTGTAATGAAAATCCAAATAATAATCTACTGTGCATCATTTAAAAATGACAGAGGCTCAAAAAAATAACCAATGTTTTGACTCTTCCAACTTTTATACTCTTGTAACTAAGGTATAAAATGACAAACATGTACATTTGTTACTTGCCACTTCTTTATAATGTGTTATGTCATGTTTGCAAAGTGCCTTAAAATGTAAATAACTGTATATTCTTGACGAGCATCGTAAGGATAGAAACATGTCGATGTTCAGTAAAATTATTCCTCTGTGTATGTACTGTGTCTGTAATTGTAGCGTTTTAGTTAGGCATGAGCAGCTTATTTATACTAGGTATGTAACATTTACATGCATTAATTTTGAATTGTCATTGTGTAAATATATCGATATATATATTTACACAATATAAATTTATAATGTAAACTTGTGATTACAAAAGCTCTGTTTTGGAACATTTACTGTTAAACAGAAATGTTTTGAAGTTGTAAACTCGTTGTTTTATTGATAGAAGTTGATACACTAGTGACATTACTATCCATGGAAAAAAATATTTAAATGTCATAATTCCATTTGATCTCCTGCTATGAACAACAATGGCCATGAAAAAAAACTTTTGGTTTTTTTTTTTTAATTAAAATTGTTAAAACATCTTGATACTTTGAGTGTTTTGTTTTTTGAGCAGTATGCAATGCATTTAGATCCTTGAGGTTTTTTTTGTTTTGTTTGCTTTTTTTTATTCTTCTTCTCATTTTAACAAATTAAGTTAAAACATTTTTTTTTCCCCAAACAATAATGGTTTTGTGTGTGCAAGGCAGCAGTATTTGAGAGATTGGTTTGCACATGCATCCAATAAAAGTAATCAGTTTGCCATAGAACACTTTATTTATTTATCTTGGGTGTTTGGAAAACCCTGAATGACACAACAGATCTGACTTGAATTTTTTATGATTCTGTTTCTCTTGATATGATTTATAATAAAATTCCATCATTAAATTATTATTTTTTTTTAAAGCAAAAGAATAATAGAAAATGACGTGCACACAAACATAGCGTGTCATGGTTGGGGAATACTAGATCGTGATGCATTATCCAGCCATTACAGTATAGTGTAAAAGCTTAAATTTTTTTTTTTTTTTTTAATAAAAACTTAAATAATCACTGCATAAGGGACTGGGTCAACACATAAATGTTAACTTTCAAGGATTATATATTTTCTGTATCAAACTAGTGAGAATCTTAGAAGGCATATTAAAACATATTACAATACTGATTGAAAAAAAATGATCTATGAAGAACAGATCAAATTTAAATTGAGCAGTAAATACCCCACTTTTTGGGGGGTTGCTTCACAAAACATTCAACACCAATAAACACACATAAATACAAAAAGAACCTTGCAAATGTGAAATAACCACCTTGCAATAAGTGGAAAAACACAGTAAGCGTGACCACCATACTTCATGAGGCCAATCCCAGTAGAAATTGCTGAGCAATTAATCAAATAGGCCTGCGAATCGGAGGAACCTAACAAGGACACTTGGTTTTTTTTTTTTGTTAGGGCTCCCAGAAGGTCCGCAGAAATCAAGCATTTGGATGAAATGTGTTGACACAGCTGTTTACATATTTTGGTTTTATCTTGTTTGCACTAGTTTCAAGATTTCAGACTATACTGCATGTGATCACAGGTTTTTATATTCTGCTTTTTGTAAGTGCCTTTTGTTTTTTATAAAATTTTTAGTGAATAACAATATGACTTTCCTGTTTATATTACATGAGATTGATCTATCCTGAAATAATCTTTGTAACTTGTATACCCCTGCTAAGAGAGACTGCCCCACTATAAGTGTATTTTTATATCCATCAGGGGTAGGGAGCCACAGAAATATTACCCTATATGCTGTTTTTGTTGTTTTATCTTTGTGAATTGCTCTATACCGGAGTTTGCATTGTTAACCATTCTGTCAGACAATGGGATTTATTCATTATATTGTAAGTGTTTTTCCACTTATCTCAAAAGGAGTTATTTCTCATTAAGGGGAGGGGGCTATAGTGGTAGGAAAACAACTAAGTTTGCTTTAAGTAGTCTTAGTGTATAGATCATGCCCTAGTAATCTCACTGCTCAATTCTCTGGGTTTTGACATTTTTCTAGAGCAGAAAAATTCCTTTCCAGATGCCCTCTAGCCATTGGTGAGTGAAAGATTTAGCTTTGGTTAATATAAATGTACCCATAATGTGTGTACATTACAGAAAGCCACTGGAGGTGTTTCCTGAGTCAGTGCTGCACACGCCGTTCAGCATCTCCACCCTCTGCATGAAAACGCTGAATGCTCCCCATGGAGATGCTGATTGGCTAGTTTTGTGTCTGGCACCGCCTCTTTGGCTGAGATCAATATTGAGTATCTCAGCCAATCCAATGCTTTCCTGTGGATCTCTGGCAGAGCCAGCGCTAGCGGACCATCTCCTCTGTCGCAATCTCCTTAGACAGGACCTCTGCTACCCTTTGTTATTCAGACTTCCTCAGTGACATCGGCACGCTGGCTTCATTGCCAGCATGCCAACATCTGAACGGAGTCCTGTGATGTCACTTCGTTTCTTTAGCTCCTATTCAGATCCAAGGGCTATAGGAACAGAAGGATCTCATGTAGGAGGTCTCTTCTGCTCTTTATTTATCAAGTAATTCCTCAGCATTGAGTGTTTTGCAGAACAATTAATGACAGGTGGGAGAAATGCCTGTTTAAACTAGCTTGTTCTCCTAATCTATTCATTGTGCTAGAAAAACTGCAAGCACAATGTGTGGAAGTAATCTTCTGTTTTTTTTGTTGTTTTTTTAATATAGTGCTGTACCATTTAAAGGGGAATTTTCAATTTATAGGATTAGTTTAGATTATGTTACTTATCTGTGTATGTGTAAACATATCTTTTGTCCTGCAAGTGGCGCTTATCTTACCTCCCTATACGTTTTTGTTACAAGTCTGTTACTGTCCTTTGCACCTGGCAGTCTGCATAGAGAAAATATAGAGTAGAGGAGAAATTAATAATATTTATATTTTCCCTCTTCACTAGCGATGTTTGCTCCTTGCAATGCCTTCTCTGAGCTGAATTATATAATTTTATAAATGTTTTAAGGGTTACTCCAGGCACCATGTCCACTTCAGTGATCTATAATAGTCATTGCCATGCACAGTGGGCATTATTTTTATTTTTTTACCAGTATCGCTGAGTTGCCTGTGTTTTTTGTTTGGCATCCAGGATTAACCTGAATTATCTCTTACAGACAGCCCCTGCTGTATCTGTGTCACGTATCCATCCTCTCCATATAAAGATTACAGTAGTAGAATAATAGAAGTGCCGCTCAGTGGCCCTTCGCCATAATGCTTGGCTTTTGCAACATGTTGGTGGACGTCGGCCGCTGCGGATCCACGCCATATTATAGCCCCATGTCCGCCCACTGTAATAACGACGTTGATGTGCGTGTGACGTCACACAAAAGATGCGCGCACACACTTTGGGGTCAAAAGTCTGGTACAGCCAATCTGATCTGCAGGAGTTATTTAAACTTATTATTCCTTCTACTCATTGCCCTGTTGTGGTTTCCCTTTGCTGGTTATCAGAGTGTTCCTGATCGTATTATTCTGGTTTTTGACTTTGGTTTAATTTTGACTTCCCTTATTTCTGGTATCTTTGACTTTTGGCTTTCTCTCATCATTGTCTGATTCTGTATCCTGACCTCTGCTAGTATTTTGACTCTTCTTGGGTACGTTAGGTCCAGCCATTCTAAGGTCCTGGGTGTGATACTATTTCTGCGTGCTGCATCATCTAGTAATCCTGACAATCTGCAGGCAGAACTCGGTAATAAGGCTTTTTGGGGCTCAACAGTCAAGTGCGTTAGATCATAGAGTTGAATTAACATCAGCAATCTAAAAAAAGCAGTTATAAATTGGTCATGAGGACTGGAAAGAAAGACTGAGATATATAGCTGAATGCTAGACAAGATAAAGCTGAAATCCTCCAGGACTTTATTTCTCAACATCTGAACGGAAGTAATTATGAGCTACCATGGGTCTGCCATAAGATTCTTATTGATACTTAAAACACACAGCCTGCGCTAGTGCTGTAAGTCCCATTTTACTTTTAGAACAGTTTTGTGCATGTTTGTCAGGAACATGTATTTGAATATATTCTCTTTAATTCTCTTCTTTCCCTATAAGTTGATTGAGCTAAAGTTGTTTTTGTGTCTACAGTGTCCCTTTAAATTTTATTCTAGAATGGCTTCCACTGTCTCCCCACAAAAAGAGCATAGGTTAGACCAGGGGTGTCCAAACTTTTTTCAAAGAGGGCCAGATTTGATGAAGTGAACATGTGTGAGGGTCAAGCATTTTGCCTCACATTCTTTGAACCATTAAAATTGATTGCAAATGAACTATTTTATGCAAAGTTTATTGCAAACGGCAAATATTTCATCTCTTTATTCTGTCCCTTCCCTTTTTATTCTGTCTGAGCAGGGAGAAGGAACCAAATCCCACGAATGCCGTGACGTCCAGGAGATCGCGAGAACGCAGACTGAGATCACGTCCGTCTGCATTCTTGCGATCTCTTGGCCCCTAGTGCATCCCTGAGCACCGCTCAGGACCGCGGCGTTCAGAGATCTCAGGGGTCCTGAGCAGCACTCAGGGATTCACTATGGGCCACAACAGATCATTTACCAAATTAACTGTGGGGTCGTTGTGACGAGACCAATCTCGCCACTGTGCATTGGAGGAGCCTGGTTGCCCGCCTGCTGCCTTTAAACTATGGCCCCATGTTGAAACGCTTGATTTTCCCCTGCGAAGACACGAAAGCCGGGTCATTAGGTGCTTGCCCTGTTTGAGCGGTGATACCCCAGATAGCTATGCCATGGAGCCCATTCGTATAATGAAAGACTTTGGCTCCATGGCAATTGAATTGTATGTGTGTGCTCGGAGCGCCATTCAGTAATAATGTGCGCTGGATATGTTGAATGTACCTGTTTTGTGCAATGGCTGCACAGTTATATATTTTTATGTGTTTTATTGTCTTTTGCTGCCATGAATGGCGCTCGGGGATTCACTAGGGGCCAAGAGATCGCAAGAATGGTGACGGACCTGACCTCAGTCTGCGTTCTCGCGATCTCCTGGACGTCACGGGATTCGTGGGATTTGGTTCCTTCTCCCCGCTCAGACAGAATAAAAAGGGAAGGGATAGAATAAAGAGATGAAATATTTGCCGTTTGCAATAAACTTTGCATAATGGAGTTTTCCCTCTGTCCTTGGAGATAATTGGATTACTTCCCAATTATCTCCAGGATAGAAGACTCTGTGGAACTGGTTCTGGGCAGAAAAGCCATGCCTCATTTGGTCACAAAGGACTTTGATCTATCTTTTGAACCAATGGACCAATTTGGATGGTTTTGACATATGTTTGTATTTGGAGTATTCTGATTCTGATAAAATTCATTAATTTTATGTGAATGTGTTGCATACTTTTCAAGTTATGAATAATGTGGAAAAACTGTATTTCTCTGGCTGTTACAATTACCTTACACAATGGGTAATGTAATTATATCACAGGCAGAGGGGAGGATTTTGTGTGGGACTGTTTGAGTGTATTGTACGTGTTTATTGGTTGTTTTCCA